ACTAGTAAGGCACCTGTTACTACTAGTAAGGCACCTGTTACTACTAGTAAGGCACCTGTTACTACTAGTAAGGCACCTGTTTACTACTAGTAAGGCACCTGTTACTACTAGTAAGGCACCTGTTACTACTAGTAAGGCACTTGTTTCTAATAGCTTCCAACCCCAAAAAATAGGACATGACGTTCCATGAGTTTCCATCACTTTCCATATCTTTCATACGCCTGGAAGAGCGGACATGTAAGAGATTGTAGGAGCCCAAATCAACCCGTGGTAGGAAGATTGTGATGATTGCTCAAACGGGTTGTAAATTGAAACACCCCAACAGCAAAGGGATCCCTCCCGCCCGCTCTGTGGACCCATTTTTGTTGACGTCTGGCATCAGGGTGTCCATCCCCAAAGCCTCTTCTCAGCTCGAGCCATTCGTCCACCAGTTTCGTCCGGGCGGTGTCCGTCCAAAGACCCCCCCAAGATCCCCCAAGCAATCGAAGCTCATCACTGCTCTGATGAAACCATTTCTTCCATATGCCGTTTCTCTTATCATATGATGGAACCCATGTGCCCCGGCATCCGGCAGCCGGATGCTTGCCTCCTGCAACTCATCGCTGAGATCGCGTGCGACTCGTGAACCCTCCAAACACTCGCCTTTAAGAGGTATAAGGATGGATTCTCCATGTTTCTCCCATCCCAATGGGCGAGAAGGGCGTGAATATACAGCGATCATTCGTGGTAGGAATGATCCATTTTGGGACCCCGCGGCGCCCCCCATGTCCAGTGATTTTTGGAGAACGGTATTGACTATGAGACTATGTCTATGTCTATAGGTAACAAGGACGCCATTAGGTGGAGGCCATCGCCCCTATTGTGAGAATTCCTACAGTACATTCTCTACGTTACTCTCCTCCCCCGCTTCGAATCAAGTGACATTAACGCCGCGGCTTCCGGGAGGTCTGGCTGATCCTGGCTGCTGCGCTTGACTGGGAACCTTGTAGGGGGCCCACACTAGCATTTCAATCACGTTTGTTGACTCCTGCGACAGCGAGTGGGGCAAGGGAAAATGGGGTTACGGGGTTACATGCATTACAACTCAACCATACTCAACCCCTCCGAAAAAATAAAAAAGAAAAACACTTAGACTTTCAATGCCGCCATTTGTTCAATCATGAACGTCTATCCAACCAATAAATCTGCCTGTTTTCTAATCCTTTTCCCCCTCTCAGCAGCAACACGGCTCGGCAAGAAATAGCATCTTAAAAGCGGCTTCGGCTCCTTCAAGTCAGAGACCTTGGTCTGTATGGCCTTCTCCCCTGCCCAGGCTGCTTCCAACATCTGCTCCAGCGACCCGGATCTCACTTCACCAGCCGCGCTGCCTGCCTCTGGGCAGGGTTCCGGGCAGGGCCGGGGCGCAGGCTGCTCGGCGTGGAGGTCTGGGTCGGGCCTGGGCGGGAGGTATAGGGAATGGGTCCCTAATCCCATCACCTACCTAACAAATACGTTGACAAGTGTGTAATTGCATGGCCATTATGCCACAATACTTTGTAGCAAAAAGTTCTATAACTCTACCAATGCGCGGCGGTCTTTTCAGTAGACTGTGGGATTAAAGCCATATTCTCAGACCTTGATGACCCTTCTCCAGCATTCTTGGAAAAAACAATAATCAATAATATAGTAGGCAATTTTCTGTGTCCTATAATTGTGTCCCTATCTAGCTAATCCAGTGCTCCGGATATAGCTGGATACTCCAAGCTTCTCTCAACCCCTTCGTGCCTCCCATCCTCTTCCACCTCCGCCACTTCTGGAGGCATCTCGGCCACTTCTGGAGAGACCTCTGCCGTCTCGGCCGCCTTCGGCGGCAGCGGGAGCGACCAGTAGAAGACCAGCTCGCTGTCGCAGCTGGCGAAGTGTTCACCCTGGTCATCCTAGCGGCGGTTGCAGCCATATTGATGCCTCCTAGCTCACACTCGTCAAGCACCTCCTATAGCAAACACCTCCCCGAGTTCAGGTCCAAATACATCCAAGTCGACTCTCAATTTCTCCAAGTCTCCCAAGCGCAGGAGTGGATCGGTCGATCATGTCCCAAGATCGTATCTTGCAGCCGGCCCATGCGCAAATCCCAGAGCCGGAGCTGCCGATCAGCCGCAGCGGAGAGCAGCAAGTCCCGAAAGGGGTGGACTGCCACCTGTGGAAGCTCAAGGTGGATTCTCGTAGGTCAAGCTCCTATCCACGGAAAGTGTTTCTTCAGCAACGGGCCTCTAGAGTCCAGTTTCCAGTCCTTGAGCGAATCTGTCGGCCAAAGCGGGTGACGAAGTGGTCAATTAAAAAAAAACAAGTGTTCCCAACCTCCTGACCGTCGGAACTGCGCCAAGCAAATCACATGCTGCTCCAGAACAGGGTGTGTCTTTTCGATGGGTGCTACAAGCAACGAACTGATGCCCCCAACATCTCATGCTGTGTAAAACAGAAAACCATGTTGTTCGGCTCATTGGTCCCCTGGGATGGTCCTGGTGACCTCTCCTGCATTGACCCCTGCACTTGTTTGGCTCATTAGCTCACTTCCGAAAGCAAGTTCATACACCGCCTCGCTGTACCGAGCAGCGACGACGCCTGCTTTTCGGTGCTCCAAGAACGCCTAAGAAGGGGTCCACACCTTCCACAAGATGACACCAAACTGCGACCGAGATGCGAAGATTGCCTGGCACAACCTTATACTTAGGGTTGGTCCGAGCTGTTTAACCTTTTTGACCCACATGAAGTCACCACACGACGCCCAGCCCACAGGTCAACCCCGCCTGTGTGATGGGACTCCCTCCGTGCGCGCGGCCATAGTGCTGGCGCAAGCCAAAGGCGCGCACGTCCCAAATGTTGATGCTGGAATCCTCGCTCTTCCCAATCCCAGGAGCCGAACCGGTTCCGGCCGTGAACTGCCACGAACGGATGGCCACGGAAGCGGCCATGTCAAAAAACAGCCGAACTACACACCATGCCCCACGAAAGCCTGGCCCGAACGAAAACCACAAGGTAATTTACCTCATCTAATTACGATGAATCATGATAGAGCGAAAAAAAAAGGAAACAAATCATGAACAGAATCTACTATACCAAGACTTCTCATGAGGGGTGCTACTGGCTGGCGCCTCTTGCCTTACGTGCTGTGCCTATGTATTTTTCATATCTGACCTCGCCCTGCAGTAGCCCCATCTGAGAGGTCTTGCTTTGTTCGACGTCCGGCTCCCAAGAGCTGGCTACAATGATGTTGTCGTCCAGCCCGAAGCAACTACCTGCAGCGGGTGCGCCATCCACAACGTCGTCTTCCCGGTGTCGAGCGGAAACGCGCGTGGGGCAAGCGGGAAAGGCCCATGACGACGTCGGGGGATCCGGGATCCAAGAACGAGGTGCCAAGGGATTTTTGAAACGCCTTAAATGAAAGACATATTTGTCGCGCCTTTTCGCTCAGTGGGCCTGAACAGTATGTTCAGGCCTTGTGGTATCTACCGGTGTTCCTTCTAAGTGGGCCTTCGTAGGATATGTTGACACTGTCACCGGTGGCTCCAAAAACCGTAGAATAGAGGTAGACTTCAGATCAGTCCTGGTACGTCCTGGTGTGTTGTTACAAGGGGTCATCCCAGCCAACCAATCGAATTCTCGCGTTTCCACACTGAGATCCCGGTCGCCCATGTACCGGTCGCATTGCCTATCCAGGCCACAAGTGATGCTTGAAGCACTGTCATGGAAGCTTTGTAGGCACGACTTCCGCTCAACATCCCACAGCCGCCTTGGAGCACATCTGGGCGGCAACAACTGGAGGCTCGTTGAATCACGCCCAGGCTCTGCGATGAGTACCCAACTGGTCCTCTTGTCTCTCCCCGTGACTAACATGGACCCGGAGAATTGTCCATGGAAGGCCTGCTTTTGTCTCTACAACCCAGTGGTTTTGGGACGTTTTGGGGTTCCATGATCTATGCCTGCAACGTTCACACACCTGCAGCATCAGAAATGCCCCGCAGAAGCAAATGGTTGCAACTCAGATAAAGCATGAGCAATCACATCGTGTGCCAGGATAGGCCACGTCCACTGCCACGTCCCTCTTAGATACGTGATTCATGTGTGTTCCGTTCCACTGAGTGGCACTGTCTTGTCATCTCCCCCAGACACAATGTGGCTTGCAGTTGAGGAGAATGAAGCCGCACCTCGGACGAGAGGCCAACACCCGGAAAGGGCGGTTGAAGAGTCGGACTAAGAAATGAGACGCTGTGGGACAGTCTGCTAGTAGAGTCTGCTGAGACAGTCTATGAAGAAATATGAAGACATCTATAATGTATATATATATATATATATACCAGGACCTTCCAAGAGGTGTCTATAAATCGCCTTTTAGAGGTGAGTCGAGGTGTCCAAAAACCACCGAATCTTGGAAGGTCCTGGATTGTTTCACGTCAATAAGACACTATATATAGAAAAATGAGAGGGTCGGCAAAAAGCACGCTTCTGAACTAGGCCCCTCCCGTGCAGCACGTGGGCCCAAGGACTTCCTTTGCTACCCCATCTGCGAAAACTATTGAGACAATACGTTGATGAACTCAAGAGTTGAGTGTGACATAGCTTGCTGGAGTCGGACAGGACAAAAACGACGCTCAATATTCACAACACCAATAACATGTCACTCATCAATCAAGTCTTTCGCGTCCTGAGGGGTCCAAAATATTTACGGCTGTTTCATGGTTTCAGGTGCATTGAGCTAAAGGCTGTAGACAACTTCTTCTGGATCGGCAAGAGCCCGAATCTATGCAGTCAGAGGCACGAACCCAGTTTGAATGCCCCAGATATGACGCCACAAACTTCCGCTCCGTCAGTGAGCTCAGCCTGGCCAAAACGATCTAAAACGTGCCACGAGGCGTCCAAGGTGTGTGTTGCGCAGGTGATGCAGGATTTCCAGTGACCACAGTTTCTCAAGTAGCCTTCCAGGACCCCCATGCCCCATGCCCCCTTTGCTCGGAAGAGGATCCAAATGGTAGCGGACTGTGGGCCATGTCTTGCGTGCCAGGATTGGTCTTTAAGATGTTTTAAGGATGGGTCCTGCATGGGTTCTACGCTTCTGCTCCCTTTCCAGCCATTGGTTCTACGTCTTGTTCTAACCCTTGGCACCAACGACCAACGACTGACCTCGCGTGGTTGTCGCGTCGCTTTCTCGCCACGCCCAAGGTCGCTTGATCGTCTTGTCATCCGATGCGGTGAGCAGAAAGCGCTCGTCGAAGGACAAGTCGATGGACCGGACCGGCAGAAAGTGGAGCTTTAAAGTGGAGGGCTTCTTGGAGGGCTTCTCCCATGGACTTCTCCTTAGCTGCTTGAACTATTGATGCTGCTCGAAGCTGCGACTGTTGGTCCGGGATATGGAACATTCATAGATAAAGATAGATGTGTTCTACTTACAGAGTGCTTGACAACTCACGGACATCTCGCCATATGTAAGCCCTGAGAAACAATTACCATTCAACACTCCCCATCCTCGAAGTTCATGTTTTCTGTCCCCCGGAATCATCATAGAAGTGGACAATCAGCGGTTTTGTGTCATTAGAGGAAAATGGTCTTCCAAATTTGTCCCACTTCCATGACGATTCCATGCAGTGTAACTAAACTGGCCAACAACAAGCCACTTGCAAAGGAGAAACTCAAAGAAACGGCCACATAGATGATGATTTACCCCGATCCCATTGGGAGTCCCATTGGGTTCAGCAGCGCCAAACGCGGTCACTCAAGCGCTTCCCAAGTGGCCAAACACACACGGAGGAGTCCTGGGAGGAGGACACCAAGCTCTTCCCGGAGGACGAGGCGGCCAACGAGGTCACTGCGCCCTTATGCGCCCCCAGGCGGATCGGGCGCGGGCGGTTGGGCGTGAGAGTCCACAGGAGCACCGTGCCTTGGAGATGGGGTGATGAGAGGCACTTGTTCCTAGTACCTTCTTGTTACTACTAGTAAGGCACTTGTTACTAGGAGCGATGCACTTGTTCCTAGTAGCTTCTTGTTACTACTAGTAAGGCA